TCAATTTCTGTATTTCACGCTTAGGAGAAATACTGGAGTCCTTTAGCACAGCAGAACCAAACTTTCAAGTTCCTTGAAACTCCGTCCTTTCTAACACTTTGTGTCATGAAACTTAAGCTGATGTAAAGTTGGACTAGCCACCTACTTTTTCTTCTTAGTATATTCATTAAACATCTTAGAAAGAAAGAATATAATGAAGAAACAAAAGACGTGTAAAAAGAATAAAAGAGTAGAATGCAAAGAGGGATTACCTAAAAAAGGGATTTCAAATGTCACGAAAATTACAATTTTCCAACATACAATTCCTTTTGTAAAATATATCACTTTTTTTGACCCAGCATACCTGCCCACATGGTGACAAGGAGATTGAAATCATTTTGCATGTATTATTACACTGTAAATTCTACAGGGGCATTAGATCTGCTTGTGTTCTGCCCCTAATATGTAAATTTCCAGGAAGGTCAGACAATTTGTATGTGAACCATCTTCTAGAAGATTCAAAACCATTTATCAATTGCACAGTAGCCAAATTCTGTATTGCTGCAATGAAAATAAGGCGTAACTGGTCACAGAAATAACTACTTCTGTTTTATTCATCACTTCAGGTTTATTATGTGTTAGCTATCTTGTTTTAGGTGATATGTATTTTTACTCATAGACTAATACTTTAGATTTACATTTGCACAAGTAGTTAACACACCATTATAGTAGCATATGTTACATCTTTATTATAGAGACTCCTTATTATGCTAGCATTTTATCTCACCCATTTGATTTTACTTTTCTGTTACATATTTTCAACTATTGCTGGCCACTGACTGAATAAACAGCATTTCATTTCATTTCTGAAGAATTCAAAAGTCCCTATTAAGCTTCAAACCAAAGAGACCTGCTGAACACAGTATAAATCACTAATTAAAACTATATATTACCATAATTTATATCAGTTCTGAAAATCCAATTTCTTATATGGTGGAGAAACAGATCCTATAGGTGCAAACACCCAAATTTGGGGGATGGTACCAATCCATGTATTAAATTGCAGTCTCAAATCACCTATTTTCAACCTCCTTGTTGCAACCTTATTCCCACCTTCCATGCCTCTTCTGTTGAATAGATTCTGGGTAATTTACAATTCCTACCTCCAGTAATGAAGTTATTGATATAAATATGAACTGTGAACCAAACAGTCTATTCTGTGGCCCTCTCCATCACGCTGAATAGACGTCACCATGTCCCAGGAGAAACTTTCTCATTTCATTCCACTCCATCCGCCAAAGTCAGATCTCCACAGCTCTCCAGAACCTTAATCTTGGGGGGGGGGAGGCTACCCACAGGGGGGCTCTCCAGCCAAGTTTCTTGTCCCCCACTCCAACAGAGGGGGGAACCTAGAACTTGCTTCCCCTTGAGATCTTATGAACAGACAGTTTCTACCCAGAGCATTGAACAAAAACAGAGAAAGCAAGCTGGCCACCGTCACACATTCTTTGCTCATTCCAAGTCACCCATTGGGGGAGATGGGCGGCATACAAATTTAATAATAAATAAATAAATTCCCAAATGCCATTCTCTCAACAGGCTTGATGGGAACTGCTTTTCCCAAGCATTTGGAAAGGTCAACCCCAGCCAAAGGCATTGCTAAAATAATTCCCGGGGCCCATTTCTCAGGGTGTTTTGTATTGCAATTCGCTTTCACCTGGAAGAGTTCTGCTACTGTCAGGATCCAAGCCATCCTTTTTAAAGCTTTTGATCAATTATAGACCATCAAGTCATCCTAGTGACCACACAGGTAGATTTTCTCCATGACGTTTTAAAGCGTTACAGGAGCATAGAAATAAATCAACACACTCACTCTAGGTTTTTGCTTTGAAAGCCCATCCATTATAAATGGTCTTTCCATTATTTTGTTTTACTCCTACTTATTCCACTGAGCCTACATTTTGACAACAAGCAGCATGGCTCTTTTCAATACCCTCACACAGATTTTCCCCTTGCGGCATCTCTCCAGAAAACAATTCTTCCCTTTTGCACTTTTTTGCCTGCAATCTCTGCTTGCCCCCCAACCTCAAGGGATCTTCTTCCCAGGTAAACAGGCACAGAACCGGACGGTAAATTCGCAAAAAGAGCGGCCGAGAGCTTGTTTTCAGTTTAAATCCTATTAATGCTGTTCTTGAGTAGCTTAATCCACATATTCAACTTTAAGCAATTGGTTCTCAGTTTCTATCTCGTATCCCTGTTTAAAGCCCGGCCAAAGCTTCTTTCCTTCAACCCGGTCCTTTCGTGAAGTTTTCCTGCGAAGGAGGCACAGCAGCAACTTAAGTCGGTGCAACTGAACTTAGATCAGCTGAATCAGCAACAAATACATCGATTATGGAGGAAAAAGAGGAGGGGAGTGGAAGAAAAGTATCGAAAGAGAAATATATATGTGTTAGGGGGAGATGGGCGGGGATAAATTTAATAAACAAAATAAATATGTCTATATGTGTTATATAGAGATGTAGCGTATATGGATATACATACAAATATGCACACATATATATTAAATTAAATATAATAAATATATCACATTAAATAGACTTAGTTTCACACCCAGAGGGCAAAGAGCGTTTGCTCAGACGAAAGGCACTGCTCATTCTCACGAGCGCCCGTGCTCAACGCGTGTGCGCACGCCTCCCCGCCCTCCTGCTCACCCGCAAGTCCAGCAGTTCCGACGACGGAGCCTGCCCGGCCGCCATCGCCTTGACTCCCACGTGGAAAAGACGCGTTCTTTCCTGCTGGGAGAAAGCCCGCCTTCTTCAAGAGGGTTGTCCAATCCGAGGGAACGTCCGCCTCTCTGGCACAGCCCTCGGACCAATAGTTGAGCGGCTTCCGCGTCGCTGAAGCCTCCCAGCCAATCATGCCGAGGATTCTTTTTCTTTTTTCTTTTTAAAGGGGCAGATGGAAGTTGAAACGTGGATCTCTGCCTCTTTTATGGAGGTAAACAACCAATAGCGCTTAAGAGCCCGCCTCCTGCGGGATAGGTGTGGCCAATGAGGGGAGGAGGGTGTGCCTCCCGTTTGGAACGTTGGCCAGTCAGCAACATCAAGTAGTTATTAAACAGAATCTTGCTGAATTCCCGCCTTATTGAATCCAACAACCTATCATAATTCGAACCGGACCGCCCGCGAAACATTTGGTCCAATCAGTGACCTCCTTCTCTTATCAATGACCTCCTTCTAGTATTATTTCATTGATAAAACGTTTGGGGACAGCATCCGTTATGATTGGTTATAATGCAGAGAGCCTGTCTTGTAGAAATCATGGCAGCCATCCAAGGGCTAGATTTGGTCCATACCTCCCATTATCCCCAGACAAGATGATAGGAGTTGTAGTCCAACAATCTGGTGGCTGGAGGTTGGAGAGGACTTTGGAAAATAACTTGTAAACCGATGTTTTTCAACCTCATCAACTTTAATATGGCTGGAGCATTCTGGGAGCTGAGCTCCACACATGGTGGCTGGGGAATTCTGGGAATTGAAGTCCACAAATCTTAAAAGTTGCCAAGGTTGAGAAACTTTTCTGTAGACTGTTAAAAATGGGAACTACAGCACAATACCTAAATATGGAGGTTTATTCCACCCAGTGGTCATGCTTTCTAATAAGATACTGTACCCTATTCTATTTCTATTTATTTGTGGAACTGAAGGGATTGGAGTAACTTTCCTAGGGGGAAAAATGCAGCGCTGGATCCTTTGAGCCACGGCCTCAACAGCGGCTCTCGCTTTCATGGAACATCCAATATTCTGGAATTTTTCTTTTTCTGCATTGTTCATCTTTGGATAAACAGTTTGGCCAATTTGAAGTAGTTTTCCTTTCATCTGGCTATTCCTAGGGAGTCTGTGACATAACATTTGTTGTGTAACTATGATGGCTGAACTTTCTCCGGGGGTCCCTGCACCATGCATTCACAGCTGCTGGTTTCTGGACCAAAAGATGGGTAAAGGAAATATGATTGATGATCGTTTTTTATCATATTTGCCCTTTGAAGAATTGAAGCTAGCCTATATGACACTCCCCTGTCCAGTTCATCTTTACAACAAGCCTGCAAGATAGACCAGTCGAACTTCACGTCTGGCAGACATAGCCGCTGAGCATAGATTTGAACCTGAAAGGTCCCACACTCTTCACTCCGACCTGAATAGCATCATAAAAACATGTGGCTGTTTATTACATATTTATGCACTACATATGTTATATGCTACCACCCAACCCAGTTGACTCAACATGGTGGTTCTTGCCTTGCTTGGTCATAATGGCTCCTGGCCCTCCCAAAATTCAATGCAGATAGCCCACGTTGCATTAGATCAGTGTTTCTCAAATTTGACCACTTTCAGATGTGTGGACTTCAACTCCCAGAATTCCCCAGCCAG